GTTCCAGACTAAGAGAACATCATTTTATAATACCATCCGTGTCAATGTGTAAGCGCTACTTACGTCACTGTATTATTGGTCATCCTAATAGAAAAACAAGAGGGACATATTTATATATCAGCTCAAGAATCTCCTGACCTCTGACCTGCCAATGAAAATATTATTATTCACTTTCGTGTAGTGTGTACGAAAATTTTATCCAGAAGAAAGTTCTTGGGACACCTAAAGGTAGCTGCGTCTAAAGTAATGTAGTCGTATTTCGTAACCAATATTCTACTATTAAAATAGTTGTTAGAAAAACATGTGTACGAAAAAGTTTGAATTTCTTAAGTAAACGTTCACCTCACCAAACTCAGTAAAATAGGAAACATTAATTACGCACTTCAAATATGTCTGGGAGTATTGTAGGCATGAACCGGATGTTGAACACGCCCCCCTTGTGAGATAGTACAGAGGAAGTTTTATTACACCATGCCCATTCCTACCTTGTTTTCTCACTTTTTGGTGCACCCATTCCTATACTTTCAATTTTTTCCACTTGTTCATGCACATTTTTTTTTATATAAGGTGACCATGACCTTATGTATCATTCATTAATTTTTGCTGATATCCTGTATGTATATCATCAGTGTGGGTGTGCACCATAATATTATGGTATGTGCAAATAATAGTGTGTGCGTGTGTGCAACATAATATTATGGTATGTGTAAATAATAGTGTGTGTGTGTGTGATGTACATTCTCTTCAATTATGGTGTGTATGTACACATCGTGAGTGTGCATGTGTGCTATTCTTGTGATGGCACACACTCTATAGTGTGAAATGTCATTTGGGTGATGTAGTATAAGTTGTGGTTGTGTGTATATACTAATGGTTGATAAATTAGTTAATTAACTTAAATAACTACTTCATGCTAGCACTATCACGTGGTCCCTGTGAGATATTGTTCTATTTGGTGCACTAATAACTATGGTAAGTCTGTGTATTTCACATCTAGAAGCGTTCAACAATGTCAGTCAATGAGATTGAGAAACTTGTGGTTTTATTATTTATTTTTTTGTATCTACTCTGCTGACTTTCTCAAGTGGTTTTATAACTTGTAATTTTGTATGTGGCTTATTTATCACCTAAAGGCGTCTCTCAAATACTTTTGAAGATGTATTATTTGGTTGTTAAATGTGTATAGGAGTAAATAGCTTGTGTTGCACGTATCCGCCCCATTCCTACTGTAAGTACTACAGTATTTCAAATACTGTATGTTAGAATTGAAACAAAATAACTGACAAGGTTTAACACAGTGAAAATTTCCGGTACGTATCGCCAGTCTGGGACTTCCTA